ACTCATAATAGAAACAAATATTATTTCATAAAACATACCATGCACATAAACCAATCCCCCATGGGGTTTGGTAGAACAAGCAACGGATAAAACCGAAGACCAAAAGCTTACCTGTATCGGTAAAGTCCTCTAATACCAACTCAGTATCACGTGGTCACCAACAACCAAAAAATCCAGCGAGTCACAATCTGGTTTAATGGCAAATACATCATCAATAATCATACCTTACAATTTCATGTCAAATTGAACATGTTTTCTTTTTCGTTTAGCGTAGTGCAGGCTTCTCCCAAAGCCCCCAAGCACAAACTGTCTTTATCATTTTTAAAAATGCAGTTGCAAATATTTACCAAATATTGTAACATTTTAATATGTTAAACTAGACATCTCAAGCTTTCCAAAGACATATTTTATGTCTCAATCAAAATTATATAACTTCGGTTATGATTTTCGCCAAGTTCTTACAACAAACTGGATTTCCAGCAATAAGGTTGCGACTTCAAACATAAACTTCGATCAATCCACTTATCCAATGGATATGAAAATTTATAGGTTTGTATCCCTATGTGTTAGCTTCACATACGTCAAAACCTCACTCAATTTGGAGCTCTGTAGCTCGCGATATCGCGATTTTACAAAACTAGGTCGCTGCTGTCTCGCGAAGTATTCGATTGCTGCATTTTTCCAGAAAGAATTCGAATACTAACCGAAAAGTATTCGAATACTTCTTCGACAGAATGCAGAAAATTAATTTTTTAAGGTATAATTGACCTCCAATGATCTCCCAAACTTGTTTATTCGAATCACTAAGGTACCATTTGCTTATGTATTTTGTGAAGCTCCTTGCCTTTCCATTAGTGCTAAAAGACAAAATGTACAAATTGTAGTAATGAATAGCGTCCCTCGATATTTCCCTTATAAGTGGATACCATCTATCTGGATAATCGGCTTGCAATAATTAAAGGCATCAACACACTATTTGAATGTTTAACAAAATGATCATTCAGATCCAACTTATAAATAGCCCCTAGTGAAAATAGCAACATGTAATCCAACCATTTTTTGCATAAATGCGTAAGACTCATCCTAATCTCCATAAATTTTGACAATTTCTTTTTGTTTTTCCTTCCGCGTCTTTCTGAATGATATATGAAACCCATGATTTGTTGCTATCCTTTCCTGGATTAGAGCAATTTTAACATTGGGCTCCTCCCTTATCATTTCTGCATGTCAACAAAAAATTATGTATTAATAATTATCTGGAAATAAACACTAAAATTTTTATAGTTGTCATACCTAAGATCATTGAACAAATGAAATTAGAGTCTAGCTGCTTATGATCTTAGGAAAGAAATTTGATTAACGTATGTATGTTCATTAACTCATTTGTCGATAACCCATTCAGTGTTTAGGGAGTCATTGGACTCCCAATCGCATTTGAACCTTTAAAATGGGAATATGCAGACTTCAGTTTGAAATTCTGCATCCTGTTGGAGAAGTATTTGAATACTTTTTGTGTAGTATTCGAATACTTGTCCACAGGTAGTCGAATACTCCTTGCTGGAGTATGGGGATACTTTTCTGAGAAGAAAAGTATTCGGATACCTTGAAGAAGTAGTCGAATACTGGGTAGTATTCGAATACTTGGGTATGTGGTATTCCGATACCTTGTAGTATTCGGATACTGGGGGAAAAATATTTCGATACTTTGTAGTATTCGAATACTTGAGAAAAAGTATTCTGATACTTTCTGGAGAGCTGGAGTATTCGAATACTACTCGTGGAGTATTTGAATACCTCCTGCAGAAACAACATGAAATGAAGGAAAATGAGTAAGAAAGCTTTAATCACTTAATGTAACCTTGAGTAATGGTTATTAATGATGAACTACTGTATTATCAGATTGTGATTGAGCTGTGTTGTGGACTTTGAGCTTGTGTGGACTCTTGGCTTGGATAGTTAGCTTGCAAGGTAAGCTTTCGTGTCCTCGGTTTAGCCATTGTGTGGTTCCACCATACCCCATGGGGGAATGGTTTATATGCATGCTGTGTTTACATGCTTTTATACTTGAAATGCTTTTGAGCTGATATGTGCAATGACTTATAATATGTATGTGTTGTTCCACTTAGACAGTAAGCCTGAGTATGTGGCGTCATACAAGATGGTGAGACTGTGGGTGAGTGCAAGTGGCGTCTTGCACTATTTGTAAGAGATAGACGTATATCCTGCATTCCTCTGGCCAGTAGAATAGTATTGCACACATGACATGATTATCTATTGCATTGCACTAATTTTGGAACTTATACTGTTTAACTGTTTTCGAACTTATATTGCATATGTAAGTGAGCTTGGGGTGGAAGACCCTTGAGGACCCCTTGCCTTACTGAGATTTCTGTTTAGAGATCTCACCCCACGTTTGGGGCGCTTATTTCAGGTTCAGGTAATGCGGAGGTTGAGACCTCTAATGGTAGGAGGCCAGAGCTTAGCTGATATGTCTGCTTTGATGATTATGCTTTTGATGCTAGATATGCATGTTGCTATTCTGTTATTAGCTTTATGATTATGTTGTCGCTGTTGAGACTCTGTTGGTGATGTGTTTATTTGGTGAGCATGATGATTGTCCATGCCACATTGACTTGACTCTTTGTCTTATTTTTTTAGTTTTGGGTTGTATTAATGTATTAGGATATTTTCCGGACTGCGTGTTGTAGTTCCGTGACTTAGATACTCACTGCTATTTATATATTGAGGTATTTCAGTTAGTTGTCTTTTGCAATTTACATACAGGAAATATTTTGAAATGAATTAAGTAACTCAACTTGGTTAATGATAATGACGTCATAATTGAATGTAAAAAGTTATTCCGCATTTTATTTAATTAAGCGTGGCTTCATACAATGACATCTTAACAAACCGGGTATACACGAGGTGTTACATACCCCACCCTCAATGGACAATCATCATTGTGATATTCCACCATGAAAAACTGCTTTACTACCATCTACACATCGTGTTTGCATTGAAACACCTAGTCCTTATACAGCTCTTGACCCATCTGGCAATTGGGTAGTTGCGCTTCCTCCATTGCAAGCAACTCCTGATCTGGGTGTGCCCAATTAATATGCGTATAATGACTTGTTTAAGACTAAAATGGAACACTCTCATGTCCTGTATAAGCACACATGCGTAGGAAAATCAACTGTGTAGTTGAGAATTATGTTCGAAAATTTTTCATTAATTAGACTTACTAACTTGCCACTGGCAGGTTATGCATTCAACAATGACTGGTGAATGAAACAAATGACACACTGCGGTAGACGGATATAAATCAAAATCACCATCGACATAGGTGTCTGATGAGTCACTATATAGAACAACACCTTCATCCACCTCATCGTCGGAGCTATCCATACGCCATATCAGATCATACTTATATTGGGAAGGAACCATTTCAATTAACATTTTTGGGGTGGGGTCGGTGGGGAAATCACATACCTATCTTCAGAATTAAAATGTGGGTCCCTATTAATGTCAATGTAGTGAATTAAAGGGAGGGAATGTTAACTGTTAGATAGTCCACCATAGTATACTTTCACATACAGTTAAATAAATGCGGAGTCTCGATCATTTTGAAATGCATCTACTACTAACGCGACATCTTCATCTTCAACAATCTCCACAGGAACCCAACTCTCTTTACATGAGGTACATCTAGCAGTCAACCGAGATTGGATTGACCCGTTGTAATCTCAACTTCTTGTATATTGTCTTCTTTAGATCATTATTATTACACCGGAGGCTCATGCGAAATATTTCGTATCTCCTTCAAAAACCTGACCCTTGAGGCCAAAATATCTCCTCCCATTATAATACATAATGACAATTTTTGAATCATCACTGTCACTCATTTTGTAAAAAAAAAAAAGGAGGAAGAAGTAAGATAGACAAATGCAAACACATAGGGATGTTTCGAATTAAGAGAAATTTGAGGAATTATATGTTATGAGCATAGATAAGTATGAAATGGGGAAGATGGGGAGGGGGGGGGGGGAGGTTATATTGCATTGAACTCATTGGGACTACTAGCGAGTTTCTTACACGTGATAGGTAGACATATACTAGCTTCTTAGTGGTAGCAAGTTCTTTTCTAACATGTCAAACTGTACTCACTGCCATTTACAACGAGTTTATATCTGCATGCCACATGTCCCAGTTTTGCAAAAAGGAAAGGCTGACAACTTTGACCATTATACTTGCAGCGAGTTTGGTGTCCTTAGGAAATGCGCCAGTGGCATAACCAAACTCGCTAGTAGTTGTAGCGAGTGTAGAGACGTAGCATTCTAACAAATTTTCTGGCGAGCATGGACATTTCGACAAATTATTTTAAGAGTAAATACCCTTTTCAGTCCTCATCAAATTTTACATGCCCATTTTAGTCCCTAGCAAATAAAAAGACTATTCGTGGTTCCTAAGAAATTCAAAGTGGACCCATTTTAGCCCTTTTGAGGGACTAATGTGGGTCTTTTTTTGAATTTGTGAGGGACCACAATTTCAACTAAATAGGTCCATTTTAAATTTTTTAGGGGCCACAAATAATTTTTTTATTTACTAAAAACTAAAGTGGACATCGTAAAATTTGCTAAGAACAAAAAAAATATTTACTCTCATTCTAAAAAGGTGGCAGTAGGATAAATGTCCCAATAACTAACGTACATTTGTTCAACACTTGCGTTAGGTTTGCAAGGAGAAGGCGGTGAAACAAGGACTTTGTGTTTTTGATGCAAGGAAATTAATTTTTTTTTTTGGAAATAGGAAACTAATTTTTTTAAGTCTAGTGGATAAATTTTTGCAAGGATTTAATCATCTCATTTAATAATATTTTATTAAACATTTTAATATAATTTTTCAATGAGTTAACCTTATCATCTTACCTAAATTACTCTCTTTAAATTAGTCAAATATCTTCAGCTTCCAGTATAGTTAGTAAAGCCCTGCCTGAACCTAAAATCCGGAGATCCCTTGCAATCGGAAAACCCTCATTTTCAAAATTTAAAAAAGTCCTCTCTGTGAGGAGACAGACGGCGCAACAATGTCGGGTTTCTCCTTTGGAACTTCTTCTTCGTCCCAATCTTCAACTTCATCTCCGTTTTCCATTACAAACCCCTCCTCCTTTTCTTCTTCTTCTTCCTCTTCCCCATTCTCATTCGGATTCACAAACCCTAGCTCTGCAGCATCTACTTCACCAACCCCTTTCTCTGCTTCCTTCACTTCTTCCACCTCTCTCTTCTCCGCTCCCACCACAACCGCCGCCACCGGCTTTGGATCCTCCTCGTCCTCCGGATCTTCTGCACCGTCGTTTTCCTTCGCCTCAGCTCCGTCTCTGTTCGGCTCCTCCACGGTTGCATCTTCGGCTTCTGCCACGACCGCTGTGAGTACCGGTTCTTCCATTTTGGGTGCCGCGAGTTCAGCCTCGCCCTTGTTCTCCACATCCTCCCCTGCAACGACACCGTTCGGGGCAACATCCTCTTCAATGACGCTGTTTGGTGGAACTTCATCTGCGACCACGCCTTTAGGAGGAATGTCCTCTGCTACAACGCTATTTGGAGGAGCATCCTCCGCTTCGACGACGCCGTTTGGCGGATCGTCCTCTGCGATAACGCCGTTCGGGGGAACGTCTTCTTCAACACCACTGTTTGGAGGACCAACTTCTGCAACGACGTCGTTTGGAGCAGCATCCTCAGCTTCGACGACGCAGTTTAGTGGATCGTCATCAGCGACAACGCTGTTCGGGGGAACGTCTTCTGCAACTACGGCGTTTGGGGGAACAACTTCTGCAACTACGCTGTTTGGAGGTACGTCTGGGGGAACCTCTTCTGCTGCAACGACGGGGTTTGGGTTTGGGGGATCGTCTGGAGCATCATTATCCTCCTCCTCCTCCGCTGCAACTACGTCGTTTGGAGCGCTTAATGTTTTGTCAGCTTCGTCATCAGCTGCAACTACGACTCCTTTGTTCTCAAGCGCATTCCCTTCTGGCGCTTCTTCATCTTCGAGCTCAACTACGCTGTTTTCAGCGTTTACAAAGCCATATACACCAACCACTGCCCCTGCAATGACGGCGTCTAGCTCATCTGGATTATCCTTCGTAACCCCTACTTCCTCTGTTTCTCAACCTTCTTTCGGGTTCACCAATGCTGCTTCTGCATCGACTTTGGCTTCGTCAGCGTCTGCAGTTACCGGCACACCTGCTTCGAAGCAGCCGGGTTCTTTCTCTTTCACAATGGCTTCGGCACCACTGTTCTCAACGGTGACGACCACCACTACTTCAACTCCATCAACTGGTGGCACAACCCTGTCGTCTTCTATGCCTGCGTTTGGTGGTGGTGGTGGTGGTGCTGCTGCATCTTCTGCTCCCGCGAGTGCTGCCATGTCGTCTTCTTCTGCTATTCCCGCCACCTCTGCTGGTGTTTCCTCCTCAGCCAGCGGAGGATCATCTTTTGCGGGTTTCGGTGCAGCAGGAAGTACGGCCTCCTCTGCTTCTTTTGGGACTGGGTTTTCCTTTGCAACCAAGGCATCAACGCCTGCAGTTACTAGTGTTTCTGCTCCTTCATTTGGTGAGCTATGCTATTTGAATCTTTCTGGAAATATCCATCAAATCATTTTTTGCTGCTTTGAATTTCATGTGGATGACCTGTCTTTATCGTTAAACTGGAGATTCTGAATTTACATCTATGATAATTTTTGCTTTGAATCAATTTCATGCCTGGATGAAACTTGATATAAAATGTGGTAGATCTTTTTTGCTTTCCAACCTCATAAAAAACGGAAGAAAAAATAAAAAAACTGTGTAAGTGGAAGATTTTGCACTTGAAATAATTTTCAAGTATTTTTCAGCTGTCTTCTTTCGTGGAAGTTAATTTTGATGTTTTAGTAGTTTTAAGATTTACATAAAAGTAATAACAAAGGAAGGAATGGTGAGCATGAGTGACTGAGGAGATGTATGTAGTATGGGGTGGAGGGGAGGGGGAAGTATATATAAGTCAATATAAATATAGGTGAAGTTTTACAAGAAGAGTGTGCATGACAGATTCGGAAGGGGTGTGGATTACTTTATTTGATTCCTTGATGATTGTTATATTATTTGATTTTACTTTCTGGTAAAATTTCTATTGATTCTTGCAGTACTTTCCTCTGTCTTTCTTTAACTATTTGGTGTCATGAAGTATGTGAAGGGGAGGGGGCAGTACTTCGTTATTGTGCACTTATTGTTTGCAACTTTATTGGATATTTTATTTTTATTGCCATTGTTAGAGGCTTATTTGTCTACCCGAATCTGAATATAATATTCTGTAAGTGTGAAACTAGTTAGCTTCAACAACTCACTGGGCCACTTAATATCTCAAGTATATAAAGAAAAGTTTATTACCTAAGTTCATTTGTTCTAATTTTCTCTTTTCTTCTTCCAGTTAGAGGTTTGTATAATTTACTTGCACAACTGTAGAGTTCATGAGGAGTGTTGTTCCTTTTGTCTAATTTAAATTACTTGCTGTTCAGGTATGGATAAGCTTTTTATTTCAGTTCTTAAGTTGCCTAGGTAGCTAGAGTGTATTGTGGATTCAGGATAAAGGTTAAGCTCAATTTTCCTCCATATAATAATGCAGAGCAGTTTTGAAATGAAAGCAGAAACTATGTGATCTAGATTGGTTGTTGAAGGAGTAGTAATATGGTAGGGTATATTTAGTTTGTGGGCAACACTGGCTGTTGGGTTGTTGCAAACAGTTGATGGAAGAAACTGATCCAGGTTTTACTTTGATTTAAGCAAACTCAAACAAGATTGGGTTAAAATATTGTACTTGGGATGTTTGTTGAGTTAGAGGATCAGATAGCTGCCTAGATTCACAGCTTGGGTTCAATGGCATTTCATCCAGGATTTTACTACTTTATACAAATATGGAGAGAAACACTGTTTGTAAAAGTTAAAGCTGTGAAGCAGGGTTCCAATAATGAGTTTTTTATTTTTGTCACACTCCGTAGTATGAAATTAAAATCTCATTGGGCTCTAAATAGGGATACAACATATGGTCAAATCTACTTGCACCGTAATTCAGCTCTGCTTTTGATGAAATATTTTTTTAAGGGATAGTGATGGCATTGATCAAAACCTAAATTGTCTAACCATACTTGTTTACTGGGTTCAAGAACTACTCAATCTTATGGTTTGAGCTTTTAAGCTGAAGCTGAAAAACTTTTTATATCTTTAACATGCCAGACACATTTGATTTAGACGTCGCAAGTTGTTGAGAAATTCAAAAGTAAAGTAGTAATATTTGCTGATGGGCCTGAAGTATGAGGGATAAATGTAATATTAGTATGGGGGTTGTTATAGAGAGAGCAAAAAAGAGAGTTAGTTAGTTCTAGAATATTCTGAGAGTTAGGATAAAAGGAGGGGAATGTGAGGAGTGAAGGAGGCATGAATTCGGTATTGGTTTAATGGGGAATTTGGGGATCTCTTGAAGCCTAGGTTTTGTTGGCTTTGAGGGTGAGTTGAGGTCTTTTGGAGTATTATTGCATTAGTGTTTGTAAAAAGAGGCTATGCCTCCGTTGTTTCTATAATTTCAGTTTTATCATTTTGGGATCCATTAATTTGGTATTAAAGCACTACAATCCTGGGAGTGCTTCTTGGTCTAGATTTGTGAAAAAAATAGAAGGAATTAGCGATTCTGAGCTTAGAGAAATGCTATTAAAAGTGGTGAAGGCTTTCGATGAAGCCATTGAGAGAATGGAAACACAGAGACTTGAATTTGAGAAGAAAAGTCATCAATAAGAAAAAATAATCGAAGAAAACGAAGGAAAGAAGGAAAAAACAGCAGCTGCCGATGAGGAAAAAAGAGTAGATGAAGAACAAAAAACAGAAGAGGTTGTAAAAGCAGAAGAAAACGGAGAAGCAAAAGGAGAAGAAAGAAACGAAATAGACAAAGAAGAAGAGGAAGCGGACAAAGATGATGATGCAAGTAGGAGAATATAGTGAAGACTTTGAATAAATTGCAGAAGGAGAAGATGCAGACAAAGAAGCGGAAGGAAAAGAAACCCAGCCATTGATTTGTATGCGAGTGGAGGAAAAAGAAGGGGTATTGGGGAAGATGAACACTAGTATGGGTTCGGTGAGGAATGGATCAGGAATTGGGTACCAAATGTGTCCAATCCGAATAGTAAATTCATCTGGAAACCATAATGCTGGTGGAATGTGCTTGGGCGCTAGAAATGGGTCCAATTCATTTCAGCAAAAGTCCACTAAAACAAGTTCTAATAATAGGGGAAACAGGCTCAGTTCTTTCCTAACAAGGCCCAATGACTTACTTTATGTGCAGGGGCTGATGATGTATGATCCGGGAGAAAGGCAGGTTCACACAAGGGGAAATAGTGAGCAACGCCAACGTGAACCAAAGGAGAGGGCTGCGCTTTCGCTGCTTGTCACCGGAGGAGATGGCTGAACAACGGTGGGGCAACCTATGCTTCATGTGCGGTGCTCCATACTTGCTAGATCAGATTTGCATGAAATCCCATCTTTGTGACATGCTTCTGGGAACGAGCGAACCAATGCTGGAAATGGAAGAGTTGGTCCCCGGAGGCGACTGCTCAGCTAATGGAGGAACACTGAAACTGAGCACACATACACATACCATGGTGGGAATGACGTCAAGTGGGTCGCTGAAAAGGTGGGGAGCAATCCAAGGCCCGAAGAGTTGTGGCTTTAATAGGTACATGGGCCTTTCATAATTTTGCTGTGAGAAAGGTCGTAGAATCGCTACAACTACTTGTGGAGAATAGGTTTAATTCTCTGGTGTCATCCACCTTGCCCACTGCTTAAGATTTGTTTGTTTTACCTTAAGAGATTTTTTCATTGTCACCCTAAGAGGGGAAGATGTGATTATGGGATTGAAGGTTGCGAGGGTTAGGGATGACATATGTTAATTTTAAGAAGTTGGTGTTAAAGGTTCCATGGCAAAGTCATCTAAAGACTATTATGGGGCACTCAATGCTACTGCCTGCTAGAATCACTAAGGTGTTGCAAGAATTTGATGAGGAGAGAAGGTCAATAAACTTCAAGCAATGGGATCTAGGTAGATGTTTTCCCACATGACCTATTCTTTTCCTTCACCTTGAGGACAAGGTGAGTTTTGGAGGGAGAGTATTGATGGGCCTGAATTATGAGGGATAAATGTAATATTAGTATAGGGGTTGTTATAGAGAGAGAAAAAGAGAGTTAGTTAGTTCTAGAATATTATGAGAGTTAGGACAAAAGGAGGGGAATGTGAGGAGTGAGGGAGGCATGAATTCAGTATTGGTTTAGTGGGGAATTTGGCGATCTCTTGAAGCCTAGGTTTGTTGGCTTTGAGGGTGAGTTGAGGTCTTTTGGAGTTTTATTATTGCTTTAGTGTTTGTAAAAAGAGGCTGTGCCTCCATTTTTCTATGATTTCAGTGTTATCATTTTGGGATCCATCAATTGCAAATTTTAATGATGCTTGTCCTTGTATTTATTATAGAGCTGGGATTCATCTTTGTAATTTTTTTCTTTTTCTTATTTCATTTTCGAAGATTACTTGCGCTCGTTCTTGTAAACTTAATTCTTTTCTCTCTAGTAAATTCTTTCTGTTTCAAAAATATACAAAACATTTTCCAAACCTGATGTTTGATTGTTCTTTGCAAAACTGATTTTGTAGGGGTGAGCACTTCTACATCTACTGCTCCTGCAATTTCCAGTTCCAGCACTAGTGCAACTCAGATATCATCTGCACGTGTTGTGACTTCCACAAGTGGGTATGTATTCATTTTATATGGTTGAAGTTAAAGCAATTTTTTGTTCCATTGGTAAATGTAGTTAAAGTATTTCTTTATGTTTACCAAAAAAAAAAAGTATTTCTTTATTATGTTTTTGTGTTCACTTCTTTTCTGTGTCTCACTCTGGATTTTCTGTCTTAAATTTCTGCATCTGGATTATGATATATTAATAGTTAATTGATACTAATTTCATTCCAACTTATTATATGCATTATACTTTGGGTTAAACATTTCTCCTTTAAAAGGAGAATTGATATCTCATGTGAGTGAAACATAATTGATGGGTCCCACCTGTTTTGAAAAAAAATATAAAAGTATAAAGATTTGGCACAAGATTCGATGTTAGTGTAGGAATGATTCTATTCTTATGTTAAAGGAGAAACTTAAATCCCTTATACTTTTATGTCAAAAGATGAAGAACTTAATGTACCCAAAAATAATTAAATGAATAAAGAACACTTATTTGCGTTCCAACTTCCAAGTGTTTCTGTTTTTTTCTCTCATAGTTTTCACTAGTAGGAGTTAGTCTGGCATTATATTTTGTACTTTGGTGCCCTAAGTTGCACCATCATATAATTGATTGTTAGTTTACTACTCATAGAACTAATCGCACTTATTTCACTTTGCATTGCTTTTAGTTTCCTGCGTTTTGGTTGTTAAATCATAATGATTTCCTCAATTTATATCATTCCTACGCTTACTAAAACATAGAATGGTACTTTTGATACTTTCTTTTTCTGCTTGTCCTATAGAACTACTTCAACTGTCAGCACTTCAGTTGCTACCGCACCAAAATTGCCATCTGAAATCACAGGGAAGACTGTGGTTGAGGTACTTGATGTGTTCCTTATTCTTTTATGCGTAATACATTCCATATTTTATTTTTTCTGTAAGCAAATTATAGTTATTATTGATTAGTGCATTTGTCTTAGAAAATTAAGTTTATTTGCATGGTTAGGACTTGAACTGTTCTTACATTGAATGATACTAAAGAAATGACTGCTCCTACAACCTAGTGATGAGCACTTGACTTAATGGAATATATAGTGCCTGTTTGACATGTATTATTTTAGCTTCTTTTCTCTTTAATAGCATAAACTTAACCAAACATAATTTTATAAAAGCTCTTATTATAAAAAGAGCTTTTTTTTATAATGAAGAAAAAGGCTAAAAGCTCCAAGGAGAAGTTTTTTTTTTTTAAGATGTATGCTAGTTTTTTGGAGTGATCATATTTATTTTACAGTTTTACCCTTATTCTAAACTTGTATTTATAAATTTTTTCCTTTACCCTAGTAATTCATCCTAATAACAAATTATTTCATTTTCCCTCCTTCAAATCCATAAGAACAACTTTATATAATTACCAAACAACTTTTAGCTTTACTTTTTAAGCTCTAATTTTTTTTTTTTTTGGATATTATTATTATTATTATTTGTTTGACTTAAAAGTAACCTTTAGCTGAAAAGAAGATGTGCCAAACAGGCTCATAGAATAGAATATAAGTGCAAACATTATATAAACTCATTTTAAACATATTAGATTTTGTTTTTCTATAAAAATGTTTACATATTCAAACCCATAGCATAAGTGTTTTTTTTAAGTAAAATAGCGTAAGTGTGTTTGGCTTAGCGTATTGTATTCAAAATTGCTTATGATCAAAAGTTTACTGAGAGCGCTTTTCGAAAAAAGAAAAAAAAAAATCTCCAAAAATTAAGCTAAACAAAACATGCTTTAAAGCACACACACCCTTAATAGCCATTGTATCCACTTTCCAGTATGCAGAAGTTCATTTCTTTTTTTTGAAATTCATAAAGTGATATACATAATTAATTCAAGTAGAATGTAAGCAAGTATAAATTAAAAGAGAAAAATATTTAACATTGTAAAGAATGTATGCATAATTAATTCTAAAGAATTTGAATTTTAAATTTAAAAGAAGATAAGATTAACATGCGTCATTTTTATGATAAAGCACACTAAGATTTAATCACTTTCAAATCTCTAATTTAATTTACGAAGGTAATGAAAGATGAGAGGTTGGTATTGCTAATGCCGACATTGTTTACAGAATTCCGAATTAAGACATTCCTCTGTTTCTCTCTCCCCCGTCCTAATCTTGTAATCTTCTCATTGTGTAGATTATCAAGGAGTGGAATGCTGAGTTGCAAGAGCGAACTGGAAAGTTTAGAAAACAAGCTAATGCAATAGCTGAATGGGATCGTAGGATTTTGCAGAATCGTGATGTTCTATTGAGGCTTGAGGTTTCTCTATGACTACTAATGATCCTTTTTAATGATTTTCTACGTGTAAACAGCTTAAATTTAGCAATTACTTTTCTATAGCTTATTTATGGTGTTATAAACTTAGATTGAAGTGGCAAAAGTAGTTGAGACACAGTCAAATTTGGAGCGGCAATTGGAGTTGATAGAGACTCATCAACTGGAGGTATTTCGAGAACCAGTTTTTTGTCTGACTAGTTTGGTGTACGATTCTTTTTCATGCTTTTTTTAGGAGATAATTTCTCTGTTGTTATGATGGGGTGTTAAAAAAATTATGCTTGTATTCTATTTATATAAAAGTTTTTGTCTTGTTATCTACCTACAAATCCTGCTTTGTTCTAATGGTAATGTGATAGGAATATACTCATGGAGGTGTATGTAAGGTGGGTAGTAGGGGATTATGTTCTACCAATGAGGTGGCATAGCTAGCTTTTGGAGGAAGAATAGAATATTCTAGGTTAGGCTGAGTATAAGATGGGAATGTGAAGTGTGTGAGGGTATCTTGAATCTTAATTGGGTCATGGGATTTGGGAGAGAGTAGAGCCTCTCTAATTGCTCTACACTATCATTTTCTCTGTATTCCATTTCATTTTCATTTTCCAGTATCTGTAATCTGATCTCTTGTATTGTTGATGTGTGAGTTCTCTGTGTTAATTTTACTAGTTTGAATTGGTCTGTATCATAATGTACTCTGCCATTGGGGTTAGAAAGTTGCTTCTTTGCCAACTTAACATCATTGCTTCCTTTCTTAACTGTGTGAGTTCTCTTTGTGTATTAATTTTACTAGTTTGAATTGGTCTGTATCATAATGTTCTCTGCCATTGGGGTTAGAAAGTTGCTTCTTTGCGAACTTAATATCATTCCTTTCTTATCATATAATGAGATAGTTTCATACTTGTCTTTTGCCATTGTTAGGAACTGGTTTTCAGATCTCAATAATAAAAGGATTAACACACTATTTGGCCCAGTAAATTGGATTTTCTGTATTAATATGGAAAGGAAAGTACATCACTACAGTCTCAGCTATTACAGAAAGGAAATACACAAAGATAAATGACAACTACTAAGAACAGATTAATCAAGCTACCTGCACCCTGAGATACAGGTTCAGTACAATTGAAGAGGTACTGATTCTCTCCCAAATTGGTTTCCCATCCCAAGTCCCAATTCTTTTCCTCCCTCTTCTCCACACCACTCCACCCCTTTTATTCCTGCTAACAACATTGCCACCTCATAAATTCTTCTAGAATATACTGACTAACAGACTTGTTATACTCCAATAATCCCCTACACTTCTTCCTAGCTTACACCCTCAATGGTATCCTATCAGCCATCAAACTCTTGTATCACAATAAACTAGTTAAGGGTGTACAAACACAATCTCCACAATCTCTGCTAAGACTGCAAGTGTGTTTTGATTAGCTTATTTTGTGTTCGAAACAACTTATAATGAAAATCTTAGAGACTGCTCTAAATAAAAGTGGTTTTTCCCTAAATGTTAATCTAAACCGAATAACATACTCCAGTATAAATGTACTTTGTAAAATAATATGGTTACTTTTGGTAAATTATACTACTAAACATAATCAAATATTAAATGCAGATTTGCATAGACTTTAAAAGCGGGTACTCGGGCAGCAGCAATTGAATTCAATTGCACCACTGCTCACAAGTTATACGAAACCGGGGTAGTTAGCTAGTTAAACAATATCATTAATTTAGAATTCAGAAATGAAAATAAATCACAAGGGATAAAACTCAAAATTGAATTTATAGATTAAGATATTCAGGAATTAATTAGTTCTATTCAAGTTTGTCAAAATTGTATATCCTACCTTGAATCTGACAAGGGAGATAGAAACATAAAATGTGAGATCGTAACATGAGACGGAAGATCCTACCTATTTTGTTAAATTATACTCAACAATATATATTACTCATATAAAATAAAACAAAAAGGCATGATAGCAATAAAATCAGAGTCACAACTAACGTCTAAATATTACATTCTTGCTTAACACTTCTGCACTACCAGAATAGGTAGGAGCACTAGTACTAGCATTGCTACTAGAACCATTTTTAGTATGTTAGCAACAGACCCCCAATTAGGAAAGTATATGCAGAAATAAGGATGTAGGTAAATATATGTCACAGAAAATAAGGATGGCTGCCAGGTGGGGCAACCTGTGTTAAGTAGCCTTATTAGTTAAAGTTGTCAGAGACGTTGTTAGAGTTAGTTTTTAGACCTCTAACTGCCGTAGCAGAGGTAGGATATAAATAGAGGGAGAGAATGTAAATGAATTCAGATGGTCAGTTTGTTTTGGAAGGAGAGACCAGGCTCTTGAGTTCCCGGGGAAGTTTTCTTTTGTACACCATTCCTGCTCTTGTAGTCTTTGGATACTCATTGATCTAGAGTTGGAGGATGTTACTACTTGTATTTGGAATAAAGGGGCAACATTAATTAGGGCCTATGATAGGTTGGCAGTTAAACTTGTTAGTTAGGTAGTTAGATGGTTTTTGGCTTTTGACAGCTAAGATACTGTATATAAGGGAGTTGACTCTCCTTTAGTAGGAGCTTTTGACAAATATTTGAGTTAGGTTGAGAGTGCTCAATTGAAGGGGAATGCCCCTTGGCAAGAGAAGTGTCTCTTGTGTGTTCATTTCATTTTCTTGTTAATAAACGAATTTTCCTTTTCATTCCCATTCTTTTCTTTCATTCTACCTTCCTACAATATCAACTCCTATCACTAAATAACTAGAGCCGTAAGAGTGGTTCGACCCGTTGGATCTTTAAAGGGGTAAGCACCATGGGAGTATGTCTTGGTGCTCTGGAGAATTCGGGAAAGCATCTCAAGAATAGGACCAGCATTTTAGAAGTCAAAGAAATGATGCAGAAAATATTAAAGATCCTAGATGCACTATTAGAGAAGGAGACATCAACCTTCGAAATAAAAAAGGGGCACGATCTCTATAGCGCTGTTTTGGAGGAGAAAATGCAAGCGAAGGTAATTTCAAAGCTAGAAACTGATACAAGAATGAAGGAATCAGAAGATGACAATGTGCCTCACATTTTGGTTGTTGGGTTGATAAAAGAGTACAACAGAGAGAAAGAAGAAGGATCGAGAACGTGCAAAAAGGTGCACGTATATTCAAAATTAGTATTGATGAGGAAGGTGGAGAGGAGATTCAAAATGTGTACCCATACGACAATTTTCAAAGTTGCATGTGGGATGAAGGGATGATGGAAGATGGCCCAAACTTATTTGTCGGGGTAGGTGGAATCGCAAAATCGCTGAATGGAACAAACTTAGGCGCAATGTAAGAGAAGCATCAGGTCACTAGATATAGTACTGAGTTCGTTATCCATTCCCAATTCGACAACCGTCGTCAAGTTTATGTTGCATCTTGCCATTATCAAATCGCAAGCAGTAGACACATCTCAAGAGGAATCTTCGTATCTCGAAGCGGTTCAGGTTTGGATAGATCACCCACGATCCAAGTGCCTAAGTTTAGGGTTTGGAATTATTTTCCATGGAGTATCAAGGGAGGCAGACAACCTCCGTATCCAGAGATTTTTCAGAGAAGGGGAGTGGGGGTTGTGGTTCCAAAACGACCAACTATTTTCTCTAATTTATACCAATGACTGAAGAGAACTTCCACCAAAGTCACTAGATCTAGGCCTTTGTCCAACGACCGACAAGAGATTGAGTGTCAAGAGGCGAGCGCATAAGGTTGTGGTTACAGTCAGGGCCTTAAAGGTGGGATACAAATGGGAGCATACCAAGAATAGACTGAGAAGATGGTTTCGCCGAAATTACCATTATGGGGCTGCTTTCTTGACCTAATGGGTCGGGCCTTAAAGGTTGGGATACAAATGGGAGCACACCATCGGTCCTTTAATGTAGTCATTAATTTGCGCTTATCAATACTTTGCTCTAACTACTAGGTTTGTGGTGAAGCATCTAGAGCAATAACTTTTCTTTGGGTTGTTAAAGAGGGCTGGGGTCGAGATTAAGAAATTGGTCAGTTGGGCCCTGGTCCTGGTTTAAGCCTAGATTATGCAAGTGGATTTAGTATTCCTTCTAAAGAAACTTTTTTACCTTTCCCCATTATAGCCGTTTTTCGTGGGGATTTTTCATAATGATTTGGACAAAGGATGGATGATCGTGGAACTAGGGAGCCATTTCTTACTTTGAACATGGGAGTGGTGATAAGATTAGTGCTGGGAAGGCAAGATCGATACCCAGTCTTGCGAAGGTTCGAATCATGCAAACAACAAGTGGAGGATATCACTCCCTTGCATTAGTTTCTAATGGTAGAGTGCGTTCATGGGGCCTGTTGTAAATAATTGTATTGTAATTATTTATTTTTATTTATTTTTCATTTTAGAATCTTCTTTGGGCCTTAGCCTATTAGGTCATTCAGTCTCCATAAATAAAGAGCTCTTGTACATTTGTAATTAACAATTTTCACATAATACAATCCTACTTTTCAAGTTGGTATCAGAGCTCTCGATTTTGAGGGCTTTGCTTTCGCAACTGCCGCCTTTAGAGCGGAATCCTATTTGTTAGCCTCTCGCTGCCACTGGAAATTTTTTCCGGGGATCTTTTGGACCACTGTTTGACTCCGTTTTTCCAGATCTATAAAGCTACGGACGTTTCCAGCAATGGGTCTTTGATCTTGTCATAAAAATCGGATCTTTTTGGCCACTCGCGCCCCCTATGATCAGATCTGATTTTTTTGTTGCTGTTTGGGACGTTCAAAGACCTCTATTTGTCATAAAAATTGGAACTTTTTGGCCACTCGTGCCTCCTTTGATTAGATCTGATTTTTGTTGTTGCTGTTTGGGACGTTCAAAGACCTTTACTTGCGTAAAAATTGGATCTTTTTGGCCACTCGTGCCTCCTTTGATCCGATCTGATTTTTTTGTTGATGTTTGGGATGTTCAGAGCTTCTACAACATTGTCTGGTTGTGCGTTTGTGTGTTTTTTTGCCTCAAGTAGTATTTTTTGGTCTTTTCTGGTTCCTCTTTTCGCAGATCTAATAATTTTGCTTCTGTTTGGACTTAAACTTGAAGTAGTTCTGCTGTTTGGGCTTCCTGAAGACTTTTTTTGACTTCATTGATAATTATCCATTTCTTTTGGGTTGTTCTCTTTGATTTGTTTT